CACGTTGCGAAAATCTTCCGGCTCGTGCAGTGTGTGGTCGGTACTGTACCATGCACCCAAAAACTCGTAACATTTTTGTGTTGCCCAATTTCCCTGTCCACAGCAGATGCGGTGATGCGTTGTTCGGGAGTGACGACGACGAAAGCAAGTTGTGCAGCATCACGGCATGGTCCATTGCTTCGGGCCACTGGTGGTTGGGTAGCAGCATGCCACGTAGCAGTTTGCGCATGGTGGTCTGGAGTGTCCTGTTCATCCTTTCTGCTACGCCTTGCTGTTGATGGGCGTAGGGGAGAGAGATGAGTCTCTTGATTCCTCTCTCTGCCAGATACTGTTTGAAGCATTGTGACTGGTATTCTCCTCCCCCGTCTGACTGGAAGCTTTTCAGCTTCGCTCCGGATTCCCGTTCTGCTATTGGAATCCAGGAGACGAGGGCTTCAAAGGCCATGTCTCGGCTTGGGAGGTTGAGATGCCAGACGTATCGTGTGGCGGCGTCGATGAACGTGATGGTGAAGTTATACGCTCCTTGTCTAGGTTCGCGGTTGTACAGTATGTCGCTGTACACTTTCTCCAGAGGTGAGTATGCTGGGGCACTTGGATTGTGGTGAGAGGCGAATGGTCGATGCGGTAAGTCAGCTTCGGGGCAGGTGAAGCACATTCCTCGAACTCGTTGAAGTTCTTTCCCGTCGTGTAGTAGCAGAGAGTCTTTGTCGAGTACTCCGACTCTTATGGTATTGTTTAATGTTGTGTTGCTTGGGTGTCCCATCCGTGCGTGCTAGATATCTTCGCTAGCGTGATGTCCGGGTGAGCGCCTATACAAGTCGGAGTTGGAATAGAAGCTGGCGGTGAAGTTAGCGCTTCTGTGAACTTCTCGCGGAGTGGGAGTCAGCTATTGCGAGTGAGTTGGGGGTGTGTCGTTGATGACGGCCGGTGCCGTTGAAGGACCAGCGATTGGTGTCGATGTTGTTTCTGCTGCTGCTGTTGTTGTCTCTGCTAGTGCTGGTGTTGTCTCTGCTGCTGCCGATGTTGTTTCTGTTGCTGCCGTTGTTGTCTCTGCTACTGCTGGTGTTGTCTCTGCTGCTGCCGATGTTGTCTCTGCTGCTGCCGATTGTTGAATCGTTGCTAATGCTCTTGTTCGTTCTGCCTCAGAAATCGTGTTCGAGTACCAGAACCCACCGGGGCTGAAGTCGGGGTCGAGATCGGGCGGGTGCGTCCAGAAGGTGAAGTTGACGATGGCGTCGCTGTCGGCAGTGCCTTTATCTGGAACGAAGTCAAGTACGAAGACGTTGTTCTTCAAGACCGCCTTGCCGATGTAGAGTCCTCCTCTCCCGTGATACAACTTGAACTCCTGGGTGGTGCTGTCTGCCTCGAGATGAATCCCTTTCGCCATAAGTTGGCTGACGCTCAGTAATTTGTAGCCAAGGCCTTCTGCAATCAAAACCTTTGACATTTGGAGGATGACGTTGGTTTCTCGTGACTGAAGTTGAAAATTTCCTTGTCGTCGTGTGCGCAGGTTCTGATTGTTGGCGACGGTATTGACGACTTCACGCTGCAGTTGGTATTCTCGTTGAACGAAGCGACCCGAGGAGCACATGTGTTGTCCGCAGCAGCTGTCCAAGAACCAGGTGTCTTTCCCGGACGGCTCGCTTTGGGCGATGGCTGCGTATGTCGGGTTCGGCTCCAATGACTCGCGGCGGGGAGTACTCTCGTCGAGTAGCTCTCCTGGTGAGTAGTGTGGCGGTGACTCGGTAATACATGAGTCTGTGATTTTTGTCATGCAGCTCACGATGTTTCTTGTCCCTTGCACAGATTGTGTTGTCGTCGTTGAAGATTGCGTTTTAATGACGGGGTGTGCTTGTGTAGACGCCACTTGACTGCTTGAAGGCCGAAGTTGACGTTGAGGTGTCGTTGACTGCTGCTCATTCGGGCAGTGGGTGCGAGGATGCCCTGACGTTTTGCACAGGTGGCAGAATGGAGGTACGTAGCGTTGTGCTTGAGGCTTGTTCTGCCGGTTGTTGTTGTTGTTGTAGCGTCGTTGAGTATGAAAAGCAAATTCGCGTACTGACGTTCTCTTCTTGTGTCGCTCCTCGTGCAGGTCCATATCTTGTTGTTCGGCGTGGATTTCGGCGCAGAGTGCTGCTTCAGAGATTTTTCTGTGGGCTCGAAGAAGGGTGCGGGTGGAGCGCCAATGAGGACCAAGTCCAGCGATGATGACAGTGACGAAGGCTTCTTCTGATATTGCTCCTCCGCATCGAAGGAGTCTGTCGCGCAGTCCGCGGCAGCAACTGGTTTCATTTCAACTGTTGTCAGTTGTGCCATGAGCCGACTTTGATTGACGCTCTCTGTTGCTTTATACAGGTTCTTGAGGTGACTGTACGCGAGCTCGGCGGAGTTGCCGTATCCTCGATAAGACCGAATGTTCTGCTGCTCGTTCAGCGATACATTTCGTGGCAGAATCGTGTACGCCATTAACAATTGGTATGTGTACTGCTGCTTGTCGTATTGTGTCCCGTGCGTTGGGTATGGCAGGGAACCGTCGAAGTATCCTAGAATCTGCGCGCCTTCCATCATTAGCTCGAATTCGAAGGACCAGATATAGGAGTCCTTTCCGTCGAAGGGTGTCGATGTTTGCGGTTTTAACACGTGCGCGAATTGCGACTGTATCTGAATCGCATCTAACGTCTTCTCTTGTCCAGGCGCAGGTTGATTCGGCATGAAGCTGGTGGAGCCACGTTAAGGCTCGTACAGGTAGGCTGCTGTTGGTTTCCCCGTGCGTATGATGAGCCATCGAGGCTCATGGGTGTAACTCCGTCGTTGTTGTTGTTGTTGCTTGATTGCGCAGGTGCTCCTTGCTGGTGTTGCTCGTAGAAGGCCATGAAGGAGAAGAACTTCTCCATCATGCTTAGGTCAAAGTGCGTTGTTTGGTTTGCAGTAGTTTCCGTGGACTCAGCAGCTGGTCGCTTTGCTATACCTCCCTCTGTCTGCAGGCCAGAGGCTGGAGGTGGGGTAGGAGTGGTCCCGGGAGTGCCACTAGAGAGGTTTCTGTCCTTCTGTGTAGCCATGTCTTCTGGTGTTGTAGATGTTTAAACGAAGTGGAGTTTCCCTTGACTCGCTCTCATACCATGTTGGGCTGAGAAAAGCCCTTAGGATCTTTGCAGGGGTGAACTCTAGGTAGGAACAATGTAATTGCGGAAGCGTTTAATGATGAGGATTGAACCACCTTGCGCTGGTATGTGAGGGCAAAGTAGATTGATTAAAACAAGGAGATACAAGGTTTTATAAGAGTACAAGGAATATGAAGAGATACAGTTAATAACCGTTTTGCTGTTGCGGTTCGATACAGTGACGACTCGGGCAACTGCTCAATAACGAGTCAGTTGTGTGTCCTTGCTGTCGCGCTGTATTTGTCGAGTCAAAGGTCAGCGACCTTTGACCTTCGCGTAACCTCCGGCTGTTACCATTTTGTCAATCTCCTCAGTTGACTCGCCAATGTTCCGTTGTAGTTCGCTTCTTTACGGTTCGGTGTTTCGACACATCAGAAGAGCTTTAAATTACTTGTTTCCAACAATAATAAACACCGGTTAATCCAACAGAGTATATGGCTAGCTATTGTTACCTAATTTAATGTAATATTGGTTATTATTATCTTGTCATTTAAATTCACTATGACCAAAGACACTAAGACTTCTACCTACTATAACTCCCAACAACCTTATCATGTCCCGTTTGATATTGCAGTTATTCTAATATATTTGAACGTTTTAAACAACAACAAACATGACGAAATTGCTGAAGAGCCCAAAAATACTCATGTGGAAAGGGCTGATCAAGTGCATGGACTTTAATAGCGGAGAACAACGTGTAGCTAGTGTAATATGGATGGATGGGTAAGATGTAGTATTGCAATGAATGCTGATTCATGTGGCGACCCGTGTTTTTGAAGAGCCGAGGCTGCGCAAGCTTCATTAGAGGCACCGCTTGTGATGGCTGGTGCGATGCGAGCTAGCCGTTGAGCGGCAAACCAGTGCCCACCACACAATCGAGGTCCCAGCCCTTGGAGACTCCAGCCCCTAGGGAGCACTGACTAAACTCAGCGAATTTCGGCACCTTCGCGAAATTCACGCTTCCCGGACCAACCTCGGCGAAATGTTGGTGCGTGGGGAGATGACGTCGATGTGACGCTGAACCAACTGTCGCTGACGGCCTGGGGGACGGAAGGAGATGAGCTTGTCAATACCATACCGTTCGTTCAGGCCCGGCAGCTCTGGTATGCCTGCCAGACCTGACAGTAGCAGCCAGTCAAATCTGATCAAAACCGGCGAACCTGCAATTTTTCAGAGAATTAGCCCAACCATACGTAACTTCATCATCCTTAGCCAATGACCTCCAGCAGTACCGCACCGAAGCTTCTCCTCCAAACCATTTCTGCTTGTGCAGGAACATAGTTGAGACTTGCCCTACGAGGGGGAGTGGATAACTACATAAACCGAGTAGCAATGCTCAAAGGGGAGGTGATGATACCCTTCGTGCTCACGTAGTCTTATCAAGTACGTCGCATGCTCGAAACAATAGGGTAGTGCATAGCGATACCGTTCGGATAAGTTCAGGAGCCAGCTGTACTTCAATTGTCGACCTTCATCTAGTTAGCTTCGGTAAGCATTTTGGTTGGTAGAGCGTTGATAGTACGCGATGGCATGCGTGTCAGATCAGGTGTTCCCTTCGATGCATGCAATCGCGGAAGAGATGAGCGACGCTGAGGCCTCCCCATCGCGGCTACCCACAAACCTTCGTGTTAAGGAAGCTCGCCAGCGCCGCCAGGTGGGTCCCTCTCGCCTTCCCATCGTATACCGCGTGCTCTCGGAACCACCCCTCTCTTAGTCAGCACTTTGTTTTCCTGCATACTTTCTTTCAAGTCTTTCGTTCCGAGAGCATTCTCCCTGACATCTCGTTGGGCACGAATTGTTCTGACGTCAGCATGTGCTTCCTACGCGCCACGCTTGCAGGAGTTCCACCAATGGCTATCCAGCAAGGCGCGAGCCTCGCAGCATCGCAAGAGCCGGCGCGACACGGGCAGCGATACCCCCGGCAGCGACAATTCCGGCAAGGACAGCCGCTACAGTGACAGTCCAAGCAGCATCAGCAGCAGGAGCAGCCGAACAAGCCGCAGTAGCACCAGCACGATGACCACCAGCACCAGCAGTGGCGGCTCTGGAAGCTCCGCGGTCCTTTCTGCAGTCACTGGTGAGGCGGAAATCGAACCTCAGGCGATCGACGGGGACAACGTGGGCGAGAGTGGCGACATCCATGCGACGACGGAAGACGAGGACGTCGTGGCGACGGAGCAGCAGCAGGAGGAGATGGCTCGCCGCCTGGAGCAGCGGCTCATGTCGGCCGAGAAGAAACGGTGAGTCGCTGCTCGTCGCTGCTCGTCTTTTTCGGAATCAGTCAGATATTTCTCCTGGCATCGTGGGAATTAATGAAACAATTGCCTTGGCACTTCGTTGAAATGAACAGCCATGACACGTCATTGAATGGAGTGAATCATTTGCCATTGGGTGATTGTATCGGCCGAGAAAAATCAATCAGTCGATGTTGGCCGTTGTCGAAATCAGTCAGTTGTCGTTCCTCGCCGTTGCGAAATCTTGTTTCGTTGCTCCTTGTTTCACCTTGTTAGTCTCTCCATCACCAATCACATTCGCAGCAACCGTATAAAGCATGATAAACTGTCAGTCGAACATGCTCCAATTTTCTGTAATATCACATCGGCAACACGGTGATGAAGATGGGGAGAAGATGAAGTGATATTAACTGAGTCGTACCTGCCCTCACTCGTCCGTATGTCCTGTGCAGTTTGGAGCGCGAGGGCAGCAAGAGAGAGCAGCAGGTCAAGTCGGCGCAGCTGCGCCGACAGGTGCGCGCAGCGGCGCAGCAACGCCTCGAGGCTTGGGTGGCGGGCGTGGCGCAGCAGCGCGAGGAGCGCGCGGAGAAGGCGCAGAGCAACCGCGCGGCCATCCTCACGGCGGGGCAGCAGAAGCGCGCTCAGCACTTGGCGCGCGTCTCCACGCGCACTGCGCAACGTGCTCGTCAGGCGCAGTAAGGCTCGGACATCCAGACAGCAGCCAATTGTACTCGATATTGCTCCGATTCCATTCAAGTCAGACTTGCACGTGCATGTTCCTGTCTTCGTCCCTTCACCCATGTGCCGCCACCGTCCTGTGTTGAAAAGCTTTCCGCTTCATACTGCCCGCCACTTCCTCGCCCTCCCTTCCCTCCACCAGAATCGAGCAGGAGCGCGCAGCGCAGCTCCTCAAGACGCTCTCGGACCGCATCGCCGCCGCGTCTTCGAAGCGCGACGCGCGCCTGTTAGCGGAGCGGCAGCGCGCTGCGGCGCAGTGGGAGCAGGCGCGGCAGGTGGCGGCAGCCGTTGTGGAACAGCGGCAGCGCGAGAACCGCGAGCGGCGGGAGCGGCTGGAGCGCAAGGTGGCGAAGGCGCGGGGAAGGCGCGCGGAGATGCTGCGGCGGAAGGGCGGCGGGCGCAGGAGCGCGCTGTACACTCAGACGCTATGCCGCCGCGTGCAGTGGCAGCTGCTCTCGCGCCGCCTCCTGCGGTGAGACCCGCTTTCTGCTCCCTGCTTGCTTCCTCCTCCCTGCTTGCTCCCTCCTCCCTGCTCCCCGCATGCTCCCTGCTTGCCCCCCGCATGCTCCCTGCTTGCCGCATGCTCCCTGCTTGCCCCCCGCATGCTTCCTGCCTGCTCCCTGCTTGCTGTTTGCGCTGGCTCGGTGCTGGTCTCTCAACTTGTCAGGATGCGCCACGCACCCGCCTCACACCACACATGCAATGCTAGTTCCAGCTTCTCGTCCATTTTTTACCAAACTGGCTTGTTTCCGTATCCCGTGCTTCCTTTCTGATCAAATCGTCTTCCCTTACCCTCTACCCCAACCCCCCTCTCCCGCCCCCCCCCCACTCCCTCCCCCACTCTCCCCTTCCCCTCCACAGCTGCTGGCGCCAGTTCAAGGGTGCCAATAAGACCACGCTCGAGCTCGCGCGCGCCTTCTGCGCCTGCCAAGTCAGCCGCGCGCGCCTCTCCCGCCTGCCTTTCCCGCGCGTGGCCGCGCGCATCCAGTCCCCCGCATCCCTCTCCGCCACCGACGCGCTCCTGCAGCGCCTGCACGCGCGCCTGCTCGTGTCCTCCGCCGTCGCTTCCGCCTCCGCCGCCGCGTCCCCCGCGCCCTCCCCCGCCAGCACCCCCTCGTCCTCCCCCGCCGCGTCCCCGCAGAAGCAGCCGAGCTCAGCCAGCCAAACCGCGGGCGCAGCGGGCGTGCGCGATATCGACCACCTTTTAGCCCAGGTCGCACCTCCCCCAAGCAAACCCAAGCCCTCATCATCAGCAGCAGCAGGGGCTAGCAGCGCAGTCGCATCTACCACTGGCGGACTGGCCGCGGGTGGCGGAGAGGGCGCGCGGAAGGGGCGGTATCCGCCGCGCGTGTTCCTGTGCGCGTACATGATCGTGCTGCACCCCGACGCCGTGCTCTCGTGCCTCACAGGCGAGCGCGAGGCCGCCCTGCGCGTCGCTGCTGCTGCCCTCGTGAGCGCGTTTGAAGGGCTCGTGAGATTCCTGCTGAGACGACCCACCCCTGCTGCTGCTGGCCCCGCTGCCAGCTCTGTTGCGTCTACCGTGTCTGCCACTCCAGCCGCCCTGGATGCAAGTCCCTCCGCCGCAGTTCCGGCTGTGTCTGGCGGGGCTCCTGCTGTTGCCGCCGCTGCTGCTGGCACTGCTTCTGCTGCTGGTGATGGAAAGGCGGCAGCAGCGAAGCCGTTTTCGCAGCATCTGGCGGAGTTTGATGCGGCATGGGTGGATTACCTCGAGAGATTCGTTGCCTGGAAGGTACGGCGGGTGGGTGATACGGTGGGTGAATGCTGCCCCCTCATGCTCCTCACACACCAGCATGCTGCTCATTGCTGCTTGTGAGCCGTGCGGCGCAGCATGTTGGCGTGACTCTGGCACGCCATGCTCACATGTCAGCATGCTGCTCATTGCTCCAGTGAATGGGTCATCAGCATGCTCGTTGCCCATGCGTCCCATGCCCCCCATGCCCTCCATCCTTTACCCCTTCACACCAGGCGCGCGACAGGGAGCGAATGGAGGCGGGCATGTGAGCATGGCGTGCCAGATGCACGCCAACATGCTGCTTGATGATGGTGACCCATTCACCCCACCCCATGCACCCCATTCACCCCGTGCGCCCCATGCGCCCCATGTATTTCATGCCACCCCACACCCACCAGGCGGGTGAGAAGGAGCGCATGGAGGCGGACATGGTGACCATGGCGTGCCAGTTGCACGCCAGCATGCTGCTCCATGCTTGCTTGCTCCCCCAGTCACCCCATGCACGCCACGCCATGCCCCAGTGCTCCCCACGCCCCCTTTGGCCCTCCTACCCCATACACCCACCAGGCGCGTGACAAGGAGCGCATGGAGGCGGACATGGTGGCCATGGCGTGCCAGATGCACGCCAGCATGCTGCGCCGCACTGCACACCTCCCTGACGAGCGCATTTCCGAGGACCTGCAAGCCATCCGCGAGCAGGTGAGGGACGGGGAGGGAAGAGCGAGAATGGGGGAGAGAATAGGCTGGAGTGGTCGGTAGAGAGCAGAGTGAGTGGGAGCCATTCCACAAGAATGGACCCTCTGAATGACTTGTGCCTCCGTCTGTGAATCCAAGCGCCCTGGTGTGCTCCACACGTCTGCTGCTGCAGGTCTTGGTTGCTGCAACTCACTGCTATAACTTGCCCAACCCACCACCACTTGCCACCGTCTCGTTCCTTCCCCTCCCACTAACTCCACTGCTCCTCCCTCTACGCGTTCCTTCCCAACCAATCACATTACAACAGGTGGCGAAGGACATTCCCATGCTGCGCAGCAAGCTGAGGGGGCTGGCCGGAGAAGCAGGAGTGGCACGATTGGACGAGGCTCTCGCCCGCACCCACCGCGACTTCCTTGCCGGCACCCTTCCCGCCTCCCCCTCCGCCTCCCCCTCCCCCTCCCCCTCACCTTCCCCTTCCCCCTCGCCTTCCCCCTCCCCCGCTGTCTCCACCACTTCCTCACCCGCCTGCTCCCCGTTCACTCTTTCACGCGCCTCGCCGGGTGCCGCTTCTCCCACCCACTTCTCCCTCTCCTCCCCCACCAACCCAAGCCCTCTCTCTGCCACTCCTACTGGCGCTGCCACTGCCACCACCACTACTACTCCACCCTCTGCTGCCGCACCAGCCACCACCTCTGCTGCTGCCTCTGCTGCTCCCTCCAGAGCCCCCAAGGCCCGTCGCTCGCTCTTCCAATTCTCCTTCCCGCCCGCCAAACCAGCTCCGGCTGCAGGCTCGGAGGACTCGTCCAAGGCTGCGAGGGAGGTTCGGGGGGCGCTGCAGGGGGCAACAGCAGGGCCGGGGGGCAGTCCCATGCGGGCAGGAGCGTTCTTCGTGCCTCTGGATGCTGAACCCTCAGGCCCCTCCCTCCCTACTGCTCGCACTTCTCCTGTTGCTGCTACTACTGCTGCTGGCACTGCTTCTGCTGCTGCGACTGCAAGCCCTTCACTGGTGGCCCTGCCCATGGGTCCCCCTCCTCCCCCTCCGGAGCTGCTGCAGCTGCACCTCAGCCTCTACCGAAGCTCCACCCTTGCCGCCGCTGCTGCTGCCTCTACTGCTGGTGGGGGAGGAGCAGCGGCACAAGGAGGCGGGGACCTGGAGGCGAGGATGAAGGTGAGCGCTGAGCTGTCACTGATAGCCAGCTGACCTGTGCACTTGCTCCATTCACACGTCACTTTCTCCACCACTTGCCTCGCTGCTCACCTCACCTCCCCCACCTGCTTCGGCTCGCTCACCTGAGCACCCCCTCCCTCCCCCCCCCAACCCCCCCCCTCCTTCACCCCCCCTGCCCGCTGCCTCCCTTTCCCGACATGGCGGCCATGCACCGTGCCTTGTGGGACGCAACCCTGACTCCCTGCTAGCCTCGACTCCCCACCCACCTGCCCTCGCCTCCTTCACACTCTGCTTCTTACATTCCCCTCCCCCTCCCACCTCTCCGCCCCTGCCCTCCGCCCCTGCCCCCTCCCCACCAGGCGGCCATGCACCGGGCCTTCTGGGACGCCACTCTCGCCTCGCTGCTCGCCTTGCCGCCCGACACGGCAGCAGCAGCGCGCCTGGTGGGCGAGCTGCGGGAGGAGCTGCTGGGCATTGCCCCCCGCGGCTGGCACGATGAGGTCACAGCCAACCTTGCTCTGGATGAGGCGGACCTTGAGAAGGTGAGCCACCAGCACAGTGCAGTGTGGTGTGGTGTGGTGTGGTGCAGTGTGGTGTGGTGGGTGGTTGAATGTGGCACACTTGGTGGGCTAGACGAGCTGCAGGACGAGTTGCTGTGCATCCCCCCGCCCGGGACGAGGCTGAATGACCTTGACAAGGTGTGCAACAGTCTGCACTGCACTGCACAGTTTAGGTGCATTGCAGGCCTGGGTACCCTGCATGTTTAGGCACCCTGCATGTTTAGGCACCCTGCATGTTTAGGCACCCCTGTGCTGGGCTTAGGTGCAGCACCTCGCTCCACCCATCTCCATGCACTCCCCATTGCCCCCGCTGCTTCCCATCCACCCCTCCAACCCATCTTTCATCTTTCTCTTCCTCTTCCCCTCCCTCTCAGATGCTCACACAGGGAACGCCTGATGCCTTCCACAGTTTGCAGGCACTGCTCGCCTATGCCATGGACCTGACTCTGCCTAGCGCTCCCAACACCCCTCTACCCCCTCTCCCATCCCCCCCTTCTCCCAGATGCTCACACAGGGAACGCCTGACGCTTTTCACAGTCTGCAGGCGCTGCTCGCCTATGCCACGGACCTCACTCTGCGCCTGGGCGCTCCCTTCCGGGATGATGCCACGCGTGCCGCTTTGGCACAGCTCAACCACGAGCTGGGCACGCTCGTGGCGACAGGCGGCGCGCGCTCATTGGCGGAAGCGGTGGTGAAAGGGCTCAAGTTTGCGTTTGAGCGGCTGGAGGTGAGACTGAGGTTGTGAGGGTGAGGGTGAGGTTGTGAGGGTGAGGGTGAGGTTGTGAGGGTGAGGGTGAGGTTGTGGGGGTGAGGGTGAGGTTGTGGGGGTGAGAATGAGGGGGTTGGAAGGGTACCAGGGGGTTGTGTGTGTGCTTCACATGCCCTGCCTTTTCTTCTCCCCCCACATCGCTGCACTCCCTTTCTCACCTCTCTACACTCCCTCACCTTTCCTCCTCTCCTCTTCCCTGCCGTGCTCCTCTCCTGCAATGCATGCTCCATCCACCAGGAGCTCAAGGCGGACATAGCAGCAGCACGAGCGCGTCTCACGCCCCTCGCCACCACCGCCGCCACTCTCCAAGCTGCCCTCGCAAAACGTTTTGACCTGCCCGCCTACCCCACCCCTGCTGCCCTCACTGCCTCGTCCTCTCCTGCTCTCTGCCTGTCAACCATTAAGGAGAAACTTTCACGCACTTTTTCCTGGGTTGCCAGCTCCCTCAACCAATCCATCCCCTCTGCACGAACTGAGCTCCAACCATACCTCGCCACGTCAGCATCCACTTCCTCCAGCTCAGCAGCATCATCAGTAGCTGCCACCCTCCCGTCTGCATCCGCCCTCCGCACCGGCCAGCGTGCGTTGTCTTCTTCTGGGGCAAGCATGAATGGCAGTGGGAATGGCCGCATCGACTGGGCGGCAGCAGCGTGTGTGGTGCGGGTGGGGCTGGTGGAGGTGGTGACGTCAGCGGAGGGGGCGGAGGGCGGCACAGTGGCGGAGGCGCTGTGGCTGGACGTGGGCAAGCTGAGGCACGCCCAGAACGAGTTCCAGTGTGTCGTGGTCGTGGCCATCGGGTGAGTGTGTGTCTGTGTGTGGGCACGCATGTGCGTGCACTTTTTTTTTGCCCCCTTTTCGCTCAAAAACCATTCTTTTGTCTCTTTCCGTCCCATCCCTGCAGTCTCCTACTGCTGCGTCAGCTACTGGCAGCACGAGCCATCCTGCCGTCGCCAGCAGTGGAGGCAGTGGTAGCCGCCACGCGCACCACCCTTGCCCGCCTCGTCTCCTCCCCTGACGCCTCCCGCCCTGCGCTCGCCTCAGCCCTTGCCGACGCCGTCATCGCTGCAGCCAACACCAAGACAGCCCCAGCAGCAGGGGCGCCTGCTGATGGTGCCGCTATTGCCTCTGCTGCCTCGGACAGGGCAGGCATCGAGTCGCTAGCGTCAAGCCTGCTGCTGCGTGCACTCGCCCCCTCTGACGCCATCTTCCTCCACGTCCGCGCTTCTGTTGCCGCCGCCCTGCGTGCCCTGCTGCTGCTGCGCCCTGTGAGCCAGTCGCAGGCACTGCTGGCTGCCCAGGCTGCACTCAGGAAGGCTGCGGCTGGGGACCTGCTGAGTGGGAGCGAGGTGGGGGAGGGGAGGGGTGATGGAGGAGAGGGCGTGGGAGTGACCAAGGTGGTGAGGCTGGTGGAGGAGATGGCTGATGTGGTGCTGGCAGTGCATGAGCCTCTGGTGCGTGTGGCCATGGCTGATGCCACCGAGAGATGAACTCGCTTGGATGCTGACTCGTGGCAAGCAGGCAGAGGGAGGTGTTTGGAACAATGCTATGCAGTTTGTTGAAGATGGTGGCTCGTTGCTGTGGTTGCTCGAGTTGCTCGTCAATGGGAGGGGTTGGGTTGGGTTCTGATCCGGCTGCAATTTGGCTGCGTGACGTTGAAGAGCGGTATGATGCGGTCCAACACAAGTTGACCAGTGAGAATGCAGGATGATGTCAAGGGCTGCCCGTTTCATGGCTGCATATTCCTTTCCAGTAAATAGGAGTGCTGTAGTTGTATCATGTGGTAGCAATGTTTATTTTTTATTGTTTAGCTGCTCTTAGAAGATAACTGTTGAGTATATTATATCCACTCTTTCTTTATGTGAATCCAATGTGAGTATGATGGCATGCCCACCTGGTTTATCTGCGAATGGAAGGCATATAGCTTAGTGTTTGGTGCGGAGAATGACGCACATGAATAGTATCAAGATAGAAGATACCAGAAGACATTCTTAGAGCGGATATGCCGCGTGGCACCACACGCCATATCCACTTTCCTTGCGAGGTGGATTCATCCATGAATGTTCAGGCTGGTGAGAATTCGAAGCGGTGAAGCCGGAACACCGTTCTTGGCTGCGCGTTATCGTACTCAACCGCTTATATTGAACTGAATGTGAACTTTCAAGGGGAGGGGAACCTGGCCCCAAAGTTTATCCATTTGAATGTCTCTGATTGGAGGATACGTTTTGGCCACACGCTTCGTGGAGCTGCTTGCGTGTCGTGTCCTCAAGGCGTCCATGGTTGACACGGGGAAACCGTGCGGGCTAATTGCTGCCACTGCGGCGCGCCCGCATTGTGCGCCGCATTTCGCCCGCAACCTTTCAGCCGTATAGATGACCTTCATCGTTGTTACACTCGCGTCCACTCCTATTTAAGTTACTATTCAAGACGCAGCGGATTAACAACTAATTATCTCTTCTCGTGCTCACACGAACTATTCGGGCGGATCAAACGATGGCGTCGCCTTCCGTTTCTGGCGCTGCATCTCAGCCGTCCGATATAGAATCCGGTCCGCCTACCATCGTTCTCCCCGCGAATGCAGCATTGCGGCCGCCTCCCCTTCCGCCGCGCTCCGCCACTGTCGGAGGTCGTCCGCCGCTTCCCCCCGCCTCCTCCGATTCCGCCGGGTTAGATGGGCCCTCCGCCGCCCCTTCCGCAGCCTACACTCCGCGCCACTCCGCCTCTTACTCGCCACCCACGTCCGGCGGAACCGGCTACTCCGCGCGCCCCGCGCCGTCCCCGCGCGCGATTCTTCTGCAGCGGTCGCGGTCGGGCGTGCTGATTGGCGCGCGGTCGTTTGGCGGAACGCAGCTGCCGTGGGAGCCGCCCAAGCGCAAGCCGCCGCAGCACACGGCGGAGGTGGGCGCGAGCGACGCCGTGGCGCAGAGCCTGGACTACGAGTAAGCGGGAGCCGGAGACGCGTGGGGGATTGGGAGGGGTTTGGCGGGGGGAATGGGGAGGGAGGGCGGAGGGGTGGGTGGGGGAGGGGTGAGGAGCACGGCAGCCTGGAGGCCTTCCAGAGCTCGCTGCCGCTCGTTGCCGCTCATTACCGCTCTTTACCGCTCGTGGCTCATTGCCTGCTTGCCGCACCGATTCCCCTTGCTTCCATCTCTTCTCCCGTTCCCTCCTCTCCTCCCCCCTTCCCTCCGCTCTCCCCTCCCGATTCCCCGCGCTCCGCTCCGCACCCCCCACCCCTCCTCCTCCCCCCGCTTTCCACCTTCCCCCAGGCTGGAGGAATCAGAGGAGGCGCGGGCGGCGGACAGGCTGGGCCTGGGCGAGGCGATAGAGTACACAGCGGCCAAGTGGGCGCTCGTGCTGCTCATCGGCTCATTGGGTGCATGTCAGACCGATTCCCCTTGCCTCCCTCTCCTCCTCTCCCCTTCTATCTTCCTCCCTTCGCTCCCCCCTTTTCCATGCCCTCCTAGGCTGGAGGAATCAGAGGAGGCGCGGGCGGCGGACAGGCTGGGCCTGGGCGAGGCGATCGAGTACACAGCGGCCAAGTGGGTGCTGGTGCTGCTCATCGGCTGCATGACGGGCGGTGCTGCCTTCCTCATCAACATGGTGGTGGAGAACGCCATGGGCGTCAAGCTCGCCCTCACCATCGAGCTGCTTAATGGGGGCAGGTGCGTGTGTGTGCGCGCATGTGTGTGAGTGCACGTGTGTGTGTGTGAGTGCACGTGTGTGTGTGTGTGTGTGTATATGCACGTCTCTGCACATGGTTGGGTCCTGATCAACATGGTGGCGGAAATTGCCATGGGGGTCAAGCTCGCACTCACCATTGCGTGCGTGCGTGTGTGTGTGTGTGTGTGCGTGTGTGCGTGTGTGCGTGTGTGTGTGTGTGTGCGTGTGTGTGTGTGTGTGTGTGTGTGTGCGTGCACCTCCGTCTTCGTGTACACGTGGAGCGGCCGTCCTCATCATCAACAGGGTGGTGGAGAGAATGCCATGAGGGTGAATCTCACACTCACCATTGAATTCTCCTCGACGCCCAAATTGCGGACCGCATGGCCCAAGACTTCTTATCTTGCATGCGGTTGGCGTTTCGAGTGTTCCTTTTTTGGGAAGTTCTGGTTACGGAGGTGCGAAGGTACCTGATTCGTTGGGAGTCCCAACTTGGGGCGTCTCACACTGCTATTTGTGGAATTAACACTTCAAGTTTGTTCTACCTGCAATTTGGGACATCTCGGCCCCAAACAAGCGTTGGCCCAGCAAGTTTGCTGGCTCAGCGGGAAAACCCCCAAGTGTTGCGAGAGGCAGGGCGAAATCAGACAAGTCTTGCTCGACTTGCATTCATTCACCTCCCCCACCACCCAGTACCCAGCCTTGCGCAAGGCTGAGTACTGGGTGGTGGGGGAGGTGAATCTAGCGGCAGTAAGCTTGTGCAATTTGGGTTTTAAAGGCGGCAGGTGCGTGCTGGCATGACTCTGTCACTCTGGCATGAGTGGGTGTAAACATGCGTGTGTATATGCGCCTCTGGCACATGGGTGGTTGCATGGGTCCTCTCTTCATCACCATGGTGGTGGGGAATTCCCTGGGGGTCAAGCTTGCACTCACCATCAAATCAAGCTGCTTAAAGGGGCCACGCCAGGTGCGTGCTGTTCGAGATCACTCATAAACTACAACCTGACATTTGTGTTTGCTTTTTTGTACTTCTTCCCCCCCCACAGTGTAGAGGTACTAATGTCATGGGTTCCATGTTTTGCAGAAAATCCCCATTCCATCCAATTGTGACGATCTGGAATTTGGAACCCTCCAGTAGGAAATTCCAGCAGGTCTCATCGGAGATTGGCCCGGTCTCCCTTCCCTTCTGAGCCTTGCCCTCCATTGCCTGGTTGATCATTCCATCTCAATCTTCTACACCTCTTGATTCACGGAACTTATTTCCATGTGTGTGTGTGTGCACGCGCGTGTGTGTATGTGTGTGTATGTGTGTGTGTGTGTGTGTGTGTGTGTGTGTGTGTTTGTGTCCGTGTGTGTGTCAGTGTGTCTGTGTGTGCATGCACGCGAGCGCGCGCGCATGTGCATGTGGCGCGCGCGCATGCGACGGAGTGTTCAATGTTGTGACCAGTTCTCCTCGTCGTTCTCGCTGACCTCCTTTCACAAATGCCCGCATCCCTCCCTTCCAATGCGCCCTCCTCCCCTCCCAATGCACTGTTCCCCACCCAGCCCATTTCTGGCAGTGCTGGTGTACTCGTTAATGAGTGCTCTGCTAGTGGCAGCATCAGCGGCGTTGTGTGTGTTTGTGGCGCCAGCAGCAGCGGGGTCGGGGATTCCCGAGGTGCGGGCATACCTCAATGGTGTTGACATGCCGCACGTGCTCTCGCCACTCACTCTGCTCGTTAAGGTCAGTCAACATCTGACTTGACAGGTCAACTAGAGTCAGCTTACCTCAACGGCTCTCGCCACTCACGTTGCTTGTTAAGTTGAGTCACTGCACGGTCAACTCGAGTCAACGCGAGTCGATGCCTGTCAATGGCTGGTCATTGAGAGTGGGTAGCAGCATCAGCATCGCTGTGTGTGTTGGAGGAGCGGGCATACCTCAACGGCGTTGACATGCCGCACTTGCTCTCGCCACTCACTCAGCTCGTTAAGGTCGGTCGGTGCTGGGTCAACACGGTCAATGGCTGGTCAACGGGGGTCAATGGCTGGTCAACGTGAGTCAATGCCTGGTGAACGTGAGTCGACGCCTGGTCAACGTGAGTCGACGCCTGGTCAACGGTTGCCAATGGCTCGGGTGTGAAGGTGAGTCAATGGCTGGTCACAGAAAGTCAATGGCTGGTCACAGCGAGTCAATGGCTGGTCACAGCGAGTCAATGGCTGGTCACAGCGAGTCAATTGCGGTCAGTGTGTGTGCACTTGGTTTCTCACTTGGTTCTACCAAGTGTGCTGGTCTCCCACCCACTCACCCCTTCCTCCCACCCTCTCACCCCTTCCTCCCACCCTCTCACCCCTTCCTCCCACCCACTCACCCCTTCCTCCCACCCTCTCACCCCTTCCTCCCACCCTCTCACCCCTTCCTCCCACCCACTCACCCCTTCCTCCCACCCTCTCACCCCTTCCTCCCACCCACTCACCCCTTCCTCCCACCCACTCACCCCTTCCTCCCACCCACTCACCCCTTCCTCCCACCCACTCACCCCTTCCTCCCACCCTCTCACCCCTTCCTCCCACCCACTCACCCCTTCCTCCCACCCTCTCACCCCTTCCTCCCACCCACTCACCCCTTCCTCCCACCCACTCACCCCTTCCTCCCACCCACTCACCCCTTCCTCCCACCCTCTCACCCCTTCCTCCCGCAGATACCTGGCAGCATGGGAGCAGAAGGAGTCAGGCTAGCTCTGAGCAGGGAGGGCCCTTTGGTTCACATCGGGGTGACTTTGAGCGGCACTCAGAGGCAAACAGCGACCGCCCTTGGCAATGGCATCTCTAACCCCTCACCCTTTCAGATAGTCGGCAGCATGGTCGCCGAGGCCTGCGGCCTAGCCCTGGGCACGGAGGGGGCTCTGGTGCACATGGGTTCGGGGTGACTTGTGAGTCGACTCAAAAGGTCACATAGTTCACTCGCCCCTCTCACTAGCAGCTCTCACCACTTCCCACCCCTCTCCACGCCTCCCTTCCTCTCTCGCCTGCAGATTTTGGGCAGCATGGGCGCCGAGGCGGGCGGGCTAGCGCTGGGCAAGAAGGGTCCTTAGGTGCACATGGCGGTGACTCTGGAGTGGCACTGAGCGCTAAACAGCTACCACCCCGTCACATGTCTCTCCCCTCTCTCTTGCAGGTATTGGGCAGCATGGGGGCAGAGGCCGGTGGGCTAGCACTGGGCAAGAATGGCCCTCTGGCTGGTGCACATGGGGGTGACCTGTGAGTGGCGTTCACGGGCATCTACCTACCACCCGTCACATGTCTCTCCCCACTCTCCTGCAGATATTAGGCAGCATGGGGGCGGAGGCGGGCGGGCTAGCGCTGGGCAAGGAGGGTCCGCTGGTGCACATTGGTGCGGCCATCGCTGCTCTCTTCGGCCGCGGCTCCCTCCGCGACCGCCTCGCCCGCCGGGCTGCACGAGTGGCTGGGGGTGGTGGGGGTGGGGGTGAGGGTGCCGGCGGGGGTGCTGGTGCGGGTGGGAATGGGAAGGACGCTCTTGGTGCGGGAAGCGCAGGTGGGGTGCGGGCAGCAACAGCAGGGACAGGAGTGTGTGAGCCGCTGCTTGCACAGGGCACCACACAGACCAGCACGGCCAGGGGAGGAAGGCGAAGGGGGGGAAAGGGAGGTGGAGAGGAGGGGGAGCGGCGGCAGTGGTGGCTGCTGTACTCGGACTGGCTGCGTTTCTTTGACAATGACCGTGCCCGCCACGACCTCGTCACCATTGGCGCCGGGGCCGGTGTGGCCGCTGCTTTCCAGTGCCCCTTGGGAGGCATCCTCTTCGCTCTTGAAGAGCTCACGTCCTGGTGGGTGCTCGCTCTACTCTGCTCCTCTGTGGCTGTTCTACTCGCACTGGCTGCGTTTCTTTGTTAACGACCGTGCGCGCCACGAACTCGTCACCATTGGTGCTGGCGCTGGTGTGGCAGCCGCCGTCCAGTGCCCGCTGGGGGGAATTCTCTTTGCTCTCCAGGAGCTCACCTCCTGGTGGCTCTGCTCTGCTCTGCTCTGGCAACAGCAGCACAGATGCATGTGTGTAGCTGACTCAAAGCACAGATACACGTGTGTAGCTGAATCAAAGCACAGATGCACGTGTGTAGCTGACTCAAAGCACAGATGCACGTGTGTAGCTGACTCAAAGCACAGATGCACGTGTGTAGCTGACTCAAAGCACAGATGCACGTGTGTAGCTGACTCAAAGCACACCTTCTGGGTCTTCGCCATCCAGGAGCTCACCTCCTGGTGGGCGCTGCTGCTCTCGCGTGGGGTATGGGGTGGGGCTTAAGCAGGGTACCATTACGAACACTCAACAACTGCTTTGCTTGTATCAGAAAGCTCTTCAACTACTGCTCGGCTGGTCTACATGGCCGACTCCCCTGGGGGCCATCGTCGTCGCCCTCCAGGAGCTCACCACCTCCTAGTGGGTGCAGTTGCTCGTGCATGGCTGATTTTTGGTAACCTGGTTGTTGTGGTAGCGCAATGTCAACCCGTGGTAACACGTCCCGATCTCTGAGGCTCCTTTGTTCATGCTGCTGCTAGTCATGTGGTTGTTGTGGCCATGCCCATGCCCCACGTTCGCTTGTGCCCATTCGTGTTCTGTCCCGATTGCTCATGTGTGTGCCCCTCTATCGGAGTCCAGAAGGTGTAGGAAGCAGCACGTGGTGGTGGTGGTGCTGCTGCTGTGCTCAAGGCGCAGTTTCTCAAGTCCTTCGCCTCGCAGCTGCTTTGCTTGTCTCGTCCTTGCTATCAGCCTTTCATCTGCTTTGCTATCAACCTTTCATCTGCCTTGCTCCTCTCTCCTCCACCTCGCTCTCAACCCCTCCCAACCCCTGCTAACCCCTCTCAATCCCTCTCAACCCCTCCCAACCCTTCCCAACCCATCACAACCCCTCCCAAACCCTCTCAATCATGCAGGTGGAAGAAGAAGGTGGTGTGGAAGGCGCTGTTCACGAATGCAGTGGGCGCCATTGCACTGAGAGCGCTCATGGCGGCGTGCCAGGGGGGGCGGTGCGGGCTGTACAGCGATGGCGGCTTCATTCTCTTCGATGCCCAGGTGCGTCAAGGGCGTGGGTGTGGTGTCGGTGTGAATGCGACCATGCATGTGCCACCATACACATGCCATGCCACCATACACATGCCATGCCACCATACACATGCCATGCCACCATACACATGCCATGCCACCATGCACGCGTCATGCCATCATGCTACTGTGCACATGCCCCCATGCACATGACCCATGCACATACCCCCATGCGTTCGGCCAGAAACTGTCAAGGTCGCAATCAACTCTCTTTCTACACCTAGTAGCTCCAAGCAACTCCCTTGATTCCCATGCATGGCATGGCATGGCATGGCATGGCATGGCATGGCATGGCATCAGAGGGAGAGCGACTAGGGGCTGAGGGAGCTGCCGCCAGTGCTGGTGCTGGTCATCACAGGGCTTTTAATTGATTTCTTATGAACCAGGTATCGGTGGTTGTGCTGGGCATCTATTTTACTTGACTCAAACACAAGCGCCTTCCCCCATCCGCGTGTATTCCGTACTTGACCCCATGTGTGGCATGGCATCAGAGGGAGAGTGACTTTGGGTTGAGGGAGCTGCTGCCGGTGCTGGTGCTGGGCATCACAGGGGGGCTCGTGGGGGCACTCTTCAACACCGCTGTCGCCCGCCTGGCCAAGCTGCGCGCCAAATACATCAACCCGTGAGTTGAACTGCTGTCACTTCGTGCTCTCCGCTTGTTCCAACCCGCCACCTGTCCACCCGCCACCAGCCACGGCACACAAGGCGTCCCAGGCTGCTCTCATTACCATCTCTACACTGATCATGCTCTTACTCACACTGCTGCTCATGCTGTCTCCCTCCCTTTCCCCCAAACCAACCCCTCACCCCCAAAACAGCTACTGCCCATGGTGCCAGGTGCTAGAAGCAGCACTCATCGCCATCCTCACCAGATGCTGCTTCACCCTAACATTTCAGTGCTTTTCTTTCTTTACCCTCCTCTACTCCCCCAACCCCTCCCCATATCCACGTACGGCCCATGGTGCAAGTTCCTAGAGGTGGCTCTTATCGCCATCCTAAACCTAGCACATGGCACTTTGCCCCTTCCCACCCTCTTCCCCTCCCCCTTTCCCCTGCCCTCAAATGCAGCTACGGGCCATGGTGCAGGGTGCTAGAGGCGGCGCTCATCGCCATCCTCACATCGCTCGCCCGCATGGCCCTCCCCTTCGCCTTGCGCTGCCTGCCCTGCCCGGAAAACGAGGTCTGCCCGGACCCCAGCCTCAACGGCAACTACATTGCTTTCACCTGCCCCGCGGGCAGCTACAACCCGATGGCGGGGCTGGCGCCCACCACCAACGACAACGCCATCTCCAACCTCTTCTCCAGCTCACCCGCCCAGTACACGTGAGTCTTGAAGTATACATGCATCCCAACTGTATCTAGCCCTTCCTAGTTTTCAATAGTGGTGTAATTGAACTATTCATGCCCGCCCTTCCTCACTGGCCCTTTAGTTTCCTCTTTCTGCGTCTCCCACCCACACCCGATCGTCTTCCTTCTCATCTTCCCCCATCACCACATTCACCAAAAGCTGCTCTCTCCCTCTTTCTGCGTCTCTCTCACTGCCCTCACTTCCCCTCGCTCCCCACTTTCCTCTCCCCTCATCCCACCCCATCCCTCCCCACCGCAGCCACGCCACGCTCGCACTCTTCTTCCTCGTCTTTTTCTCGCTCGCCATCGTCACTAACGGCTGCTCCGTGCCGGCCGGCCTCTTCGTCCCACTCATAGTAGCAGGCGGCACGTACGGCCGAATGATGGGCAAAATCATGCGCTCACTCACCTCCCCCGCCTCCCCCACACTCTCATCCTTCCTCCTCCCCTCCCTCACCTCTCCCCTTCGGTCCGCCGGGCTGCTCTGGACCGGAGAATCTGAATCCGACACGGGATTGGACGAGGGGACGTACGCGCTGCTCGGCGCCGCGTCCCTATTGGGCGGCTCCATGCGCATGTCTGTCTCCCTCTCCGTCATGCTGCTGGAAGTTACCGGGAACCTTCTCCTCCTGCCGCTGATCATGCTGGCAACCACCATCGCCAAGGAGGTGGGGGACTGCTTTAACGAAGGGGTGGTTGACGAGGCGAGCCACTTAAAGCGCCTGCCCATGCTGGAATACCCCCCTCCCGAGTTCATGAAGAATCTAACAGCTGTAGACGGCGTGAGAGGCCCAGCTGTGGCTCTGAAGAGCGTGGAGCGCGTGGGGGAGGTGCTGCGTGTGCTGCAGACCACCACCCACTCCGCCTTTCCTGTCGTGCAGATTGTGGCTGTGGGGGAGGGGGGGAAGAAGGAGGAGGGGGAGGGGGAGGTGCAGGCGGTGCTGTACGGCACGGTGCTGCGCTCCAAGCTGCTCAAGCTGCTGGCGGATAAGTCCGCCTTCCAGCGCGGCACTCTCTGCACCGCTCGTACCAATCCCCTTTATAAGCTTCCTCTTTCTACCAACACTGCAGCTGCCGCTGCAGCTGCTGCTGTGCCGGAACCCAGACCTGCTACCCAGCGTACCGTGCGGTTTGAAGGTGTGCCGGACGGTCCACAGGCGGCCAATGGGGAGGCGGCACGTGGTGCAGCTGAAGGTGGCTATGCGGAAGGGCGGAGACTGGCGAAGTCGCTGTCACACAAGCACCGCACGGCGACAGCGATTGTGAATGTTAAGAAGACTCCTTGTATCGAGGATATCAATCTGAGTGCAGAGGAGCTGGAAATGCACCTGGACCTGCACCCCTTCTGCAACACCTCCCCCCATGTGGTTGGTGAGGCCATGAGCCTGCGCAAGGCGTACGCCATTTTCCGGCGAATGGGGCTGCGCCACCTGTGCGTGGTGCGCGAGCGCATGCAGGTGGTGGGCATGCTGACGCGTAAGGACCTGCTGCCCCACTCGTTTGAGAAGCAGCAGCTGGAGGAGTGGGACGACGATGACAGCGACAGCAGCGACGAGGATGACGAGGAGGGTGGTTCGGCGATTGGAGGTGGTGGGGTTGCGACCACGAATGGCGGAGCAGGAGTGAGTGGTAGTGGTGGTGGTGAGGGTGGAGGGGCAATAGTGGATCGGGCAGTTGTGGCAGTGGTGAGTGATGGGGAGGAGAGTGGGAGGCGTAGGAGCGGGCATGTGAGTGACAGTGAGGCTGGTGTTGGCACCCCGCGGCGCAGGAGCGGGCATGCGAGTGACAGTGAGGCTGGTGCTGCTGGGACCCCGAGGCGCAGGAAGCGTGCCATTCCGTCCTTCATCTCGCGCTGTCACACACAGAAGTACCACTGAACAGCCCATGCTCAATAACAGCATGCCAAGCCATGCCATGCTGTACAACACTCAGAGTGCCCCATTCAGCTCAACAGCGTCACCGATCCTATGTTTCATTGCATCTTGCAATGGCTAGAAGTGTTCCCTGGTAACAAAAATCATGACCATGCAAGAAGAGGCAGTGTCCTCGGACCAGATGCAAGCAGTTTAGTCCAGGTAGAGTAACGAGCGTGTTGTGATACATGTTTGTAACTGCTTGTGCAACTAAGGTGGTGGTGTTGAACAAGTGTGCAAATAGAGGCAGTGTCGAGTTTACCCGTCGATTGAGTGGGATGCTTGCAGGATGATTTTCTTGTCTGGACGTGAAGGTGTGCAGTCGCTGTTAGCGGTTTGGGGCCAGGGGTGCACTAATCAGATGCCGTGCCTTGCAGTCGCACATTCCATACTTCACAGTTGGGAATGCCACGGACAATTTAAAAAATATCGTTGCAACGACGTGCAAAGCATTGAATCCGTCAAATTTCTCATGCACAACAATGCAGCTGCCCCCATACTATGGGTTTAGGGCCAACGCCGCTACAGAACTAGGCGAGCACGCCGTCAATGCCGTACGCCTCGAAACAGTTCTCCATGCCCGTGCGCCGCCAGAACCGGCGGTAGTAGCGGCTGCTTCGACTTGACCAGGCGATATTAAGAGAGCACGCCGTTAATGCCGTACGCCTCGAAGCAGTTCTCCGTGCCCGTATGCAGATGCGCCAGAACCGGAACCGGCGGCTTGGTCGACTTCACTAGGCGAACCGCCATCTTCGTGGGCGACGTGGGCGCCTTGAAAACCTTCACGCTCACACGGGGCTGCTTGGTCCACTGCACGTCACCCACGGCCATCCTGTCGAGCTGGCCGTCGAAAATGTGGATTCGGTAAAGCTTCTCGTTGTTCTTGATCTTAGTCGGGTTGATTTTCGCCGCCTTCAAAGCCTGGTTGGTTGGCAGCAGAAGCGTGCTGTCGTAGAATTCGCCGACATCGTAACCCCCCTCTGCGAAAGAAAGAGCCGAGTGTGAAAACGGGCGTCAGTGTGGGAATGTGAGTCGAATTTCAGCGTTGATGCGCAGCTATAGTAGGAAAAACGGGAGAGCTCTACTAGGGTGCAAGCACTCACTGACAGCCTTGATGAGCTTCTTGAACTCGGTGGAAATGTTGCTGTACAACGCGGGTTGCTTGTCCAGCACTTTGACTAATTGCACCGCCTCTCGGATGCACGATCCCGTCGTGAAGGCCGTCGCTGTGCCCGCGAGGAGGAAGGCGACGGCGACAAGCAGCACGAGCTCACAAGCTCGAGCCATAGCTAAGACTGTAGGAAGGGTCAAAAGCTTGCTGTGGGGGAGACTATGCAACAATTGAGAGGCTCTCGTGGAATTAGGAGATGATTCACATGATTATATACAAACGTGACACGCACAACGGGTGAGACTGCGGTGATGACAGTGTGATGGGCTGGGTGATACGACCTGTGGTGACCATACGGAAACGCAAGGTCCAGAAGAACCAAAGCGCGGTCGGGAAAGGATCGGAAGATCTAGTCTAGACGATCAGAGCAGAGGGAACGAAAGGTCGAAACGAATTCGAACTAGAAATAATCACGCGGACAATGTCTCGTGCGAACATCCTATCCACCATGCGAATGGTTACAGAAACAGTCCGAGAGGCGAAGCGAGCAAGGGAAGCAACATGTCCTAAGGACCACACAACGAAGGCGGGAGAAGAGGATGGCGTGGGACAGCGGCTTGCAGCAATCGAGCCGCATTTCGTCTGTGGACGTTCAGCCAATCGAGGTACGCCGGGTGGCAGTCAAGAGCGGAACAACGAGAACTTGACCCTTCAAGATGAAACACTACATGAGGGGCTCCGCTTCAAAAAATGAATATATAAACAACATGCACATAGTAGAGAAGCACTGTAGGAACACTTCGAATTCCACCACGTACAACACATTCAACGGGTTCAACTGTTCTTCGCCCGCTAGTGTTTGTCACGTCGTGCTCTTAAAGCCCAAGACCTGAATTACTCAACGGAAGTCAACGCCAAAAAACTAGGTTCGGAAGGCAGCCAGAGGGAGGTTCGGTTGGGTTGCGAAACCCTTTCACTCGCGAAACCAGTTTGCGACAAAGTTGTGTCGCTTCAAAGAAGACACGTGATGGATGGTGTGCCTCCCACAACAACCAGAGTTAGAGTGTGCCTACCAAACTGTGCACACTTCGACAATCCTAGCATGCAGACTAAAACTAGGCATAATATAGAAAACGTGTAGGCAGGGCGTGGCCGTTGACTCTAGAGGGATCAAGGCGCGATGCGATGGTGTAGGATGCGGAATGGGAGTTCGAAGCGTAAGGATATTGTGCGGCGTGCGATGAGATATGGTGTAGAATGCAGGGTTCGCATAACCCACACGTTCGGCCAAGCGTAACCATCCCCTCGCCCTCGCTTTCCTTTCCCCAGGTCCGACGCTTCCTCTGTCCGTCACCCTCGTCGTCGCCTTCGCTTCCGCAGCCCGTCGCATTCGCTTCCCCCGCCCGTCGCCACCTTCGCTTTCGGATGACCGTTGCCTTTTCTTATCCCGCCCGTCGCCTTCGCTTCTTCCCCCCCGTCGCCTTCGATTTCCCCGCGCGTCGCCTTCGCTTCCCCCGCGCGTTGCCTTCGCTTCCCCCGCGCGTCGCCTCACTTCCACCGCGCGTCGCCTCGCTTTCCCCGCGCGTCGCCTTCGCTTACGCGCCCGTCGCCTTCGCTCACCTCCTTCCGTCGCCTTCGTTCCCCCACTGCTCACGCCCTTACTCCCATGCTCACGCCCTTACTCCCATGCTCACGCCCTTACTCCCATGCTCACTCCCCTACTCCCATGCTCACGCCCTTACTCCCATGCTCACTCCCCTACTGCCATGCTCACGCCCTTACTCCCATGCTCACGCCCTTACTCCCATGCTCACGCCCTTACTCCCATGCTCACGCCCTTACTCCCATGCTCACTCCCCTACTCCCATGCTCACGCCCTTACTCCCATGCTCACGCCCTTACTCCCATGGGGATGAGAGGACATGGGGATGAGAGGACATGGGGATGAGAGGACATGGGGATGAGAGGACATGGGGATGAGAGGACATGGGGATGAGAGGACATGGGGATGAGAGGACATGGGGATGAGAGGACATGGGGATGAGAGGACATGGGGATGAGAGGACATGGGGATGAGAGGACATGGGGATGAGAGGAAGGGTGGATGGGAGAAAGCGAAGGGGGAAAGAGGGAGAAAGAGAGGGACGAAGGAGGGAGGAAAGAGTGTGACCGGGTACAATGGGGATGGTAAAAGGGTGAAACTGACACGCAGGGTTGGAGTGAGGAAGAGAGTAGGAGAGCGGGAGATGGAAAGAGGAAGGGGTCTGGATCGAGGGGGGATGAAAGAAATGTGAGAATGGTAGGAAGGGAGAACGGAAGGAAGGGAGGGAGGGAGGACGGGCGACAGAGAGGGGAAAGAGGGTAGTGAGGCAGAGAGTGTGGGAGAGATGGAGGAAGGGAGGAAGAGAGAGGGAGAGGACGACGACTGGGGGAACGAAGGAACGGAGTAAGGGAGGAGGGTAAGAGGTAAAAGTGCGGCAAGGTATAAGGGTGGAACGGGGGATAGGAGGATCCCTGCACCCTCTCTCTCTACCCCCCGCCTCCCCCGCTCCCCTGCCCCGCCTCCCCCGCTCCCATGCCCCGCCTCCCCCGCTCCCATGCCCCGCCTCCCCCGCAACCCTGCCCCGCCTCCCCCGCTCCCCTGCCCTGCCTCCCCCGCTCCCTTGCCCCGCCTCCCCCGCTCCCCTGCCCCGCCTCCCCCGCTCCCCTGCCCCGCCTCCCTCACTCCCCTGCCCAGCCTCCCCCGCTCCCCTGCCCAGCCTCCCCCGCTCCCTTGCCCCGCCTCCCCCCGCTCCCCTGCCCCGCCCCCTGCAGCATTGCGCTCCTTGCTGCCCGCCTGCACGCGCTGCCCCAGCTGTGCGCCCAGCACTCTGCTCCAAAGCCGCAGCAGCACCTGCCATGCGTGCGGAGAAGAGGGGGAACGTGATAGGCAGGGGAGTGATGGCGACGTGGAGAGAGGCGCGAGGGAAGGGAGGTCGGCGGTAAGGGAAATTTCCAGGCGACAGGGAGGGCGATGGGAGGGGAAGCGCGGGCGACGGTGGGGGAAAGCGTGGGCGACGGTGGGGGGAAGTGTGGGCGGCGGTGGGAGAAATCGTGGGCGGCGGTGGGAGAAATCGTGGGCGACGGTGGGAGAGATCGTGGGCGATGAGCGGCGATGCGTGAAGGTGGGGGAAGGCGCTCGCGACGGTAGGGGGAAGCTTGGGTGAAGGCAGGAGGAAGCGTGAGCGGCGGTAAGGGGAAGCGTGAGCGACGGTGGGGGAAAGCGTGAGCGACGATGAGGGAAAGCGTGGGCGTGTGCGTGGGGGGTATGCAAGAGACGGTTGGGGGAAGCGCGGGGGACGCGGAAGACGATAGGGCCAAATGCGATATTTGCGGAAGGGCGATGCCAGTGCGACCGAGTGCGGAAACGTGATATGGCCTCGCGTTGCTGTCATGCCGATAAGCTACGACCAGAAAAGTAGTCGAGGTCTCAATATCGGCCGTAGGATAGATTCGTCTGGAGTTCTAAGCCGTATGATGGCTAAGAATAAAGGCGGAAGTGCTCATGGGCTATGCTTTAGTGGCTTCTTTTTCTCTCTTCGCATGAGGAACTCGCATACTATGGACAAAAGCACGACCTGAATTACCATTTTTGCAAACTGGGCACATTTTGAGCCCTTGTTCTTGCGGGGGGGTGTGGTTGGGGCTCTCGCCAACCAAACCTCTTCTGCTCCACGACTCAGTGTTTTTTGGCGGGATGTTTTCTGGTAACCAGCTTGGCTCGGGAGGTCAACTCTGGGTTCGGTAGGCAAACTGTGCACAGTTTGCCTACTCCTTTTTGTAATTCAGGTCTTGGGCTTTAAGCTACCAAGCAACACACTGCTGTATAAGGCCGAGTTGTCCTACGCTTGAAGACTAGCCCAACTGTTACGAGTGCAATGGAACGGGATAACGAATACTGCACTAGGTGTCAAACGAGTACAAAGTATGAGCGAAGGTAAGAGCAAATACTTATATGAAAACATGCAAATAGTTACGCGATGCGTGCGAACTAGCTAGTGCGATACTGACACCGAGGTTCAGGCTAGTCCCGAAGCATAGGCCGACACGGCCAAGCCAGCGGTGCATGGTTTGGTGAAAAGTGCGCGCGAAGGTTGGGGAAGCCTCATTAGCAGTAACGGGCGAACAATGGCTGATGCTGTACGCGGTGTTGAAGCGCGCGGTAAGGAATGTTGAAAAAATTCCTTATCCCCCCTCCCCTCCTCCTCCTCCTCCTCCTCCTCCTCCTCCTCAAGAAGCTCCCCGCCGCTACGTGAGTACGTGTTTATCGCGGAAACCCCGGCTTCGCAGTTACACTTGCAGGGCAGGTGTCAAACTATATGTGCTGTATATTGTGTAGGTTGTAGTGGGGTAGCCCATATGGGGTACAACCCTATTAGGGTTTACTACTTGTACTCCTGCATGCTGCTAGTTCATCCATTCCTGCGTCTAGATTCTTAAATGGTTTCAGAGCAGTAGGTCCGTAGGACCGTTTTTTTTTTCGGGCCCACCCTTTTCTAGTGACCGTCTGCGGTTACCGTGCTGCCCCACGCCCTGTTCTGCGTCGCGCTGCCCGCGCGCGCCCTGCCCTGCCCTGCCTTGCGCTGCGCAGCCACGCGCACGCCCTGCCCTGCGTTGCGCCGCCCCGCGCACGCCCTGCCCTTGCCGTGCGCCGCCCCAGAGCCCGCGCACCGCCCCTGCCTGCCCGTCGCGCCGCCCCAGAGCCTGCGCGCGGCCCCTGCCCTTGCCGTGCGCCGCCCCAGAGCCCGTGCGCTGCCCCTGCCTGCTCGCCAGGTCGCTGTCGTGGCCCCGCCCTGCCGCTGTCGCGACCCCGCCCTGCAGCAGCCGACGCGGCCCCGCCACGCCGCCGACGCGGCCCCGCCCTGCAGCAGCCGACGCGGCCCCAGCCACGCCGCCGATGCGGCCCCGACCTGCCGCTGACGCGGCCCCGCCCTGCAGCAGCTGCCGTGGCCCTGCCCTGCCGCTGTCGTGGCCCCAGCCCTGCAGCGGACGCGACCCTACTCTGCAGCCGCTTTTGCGGCCCCGCCGTCGCCGCCGTCGTGCGCCTACCCTGCCGCTGCCAGCCGAGCGCCGGCCCTGCTTGCTCGGCGAGCGCCTGCCCTTCCCGCCACTGGTGAGCACCTGCCCTACCCGCGCT